GGCCCTAAACCCTAGACGCTAAACCCTAAACCCTAGACCCTAAACCTTAAACCCTAAACCTTTAACTCTAAACCCTCAACCCTCAATCCTAAACCCTAAACCCTAAATCCTAAACCCCTGAAAACCCTAAACCCTAAACCCTCAGCTCTGTAGCGATGCGGTGCAGCGGCCGTCACCGATCCCTCGTCTAGCCTTCAGCAGCTAGTAGGCAACCTAGCTAGCTATAGATATGGCTAGCTAGCTAGCTAGCTAGCTAGGTATCTAGCTATCTAGCCAGCTAGCTAGCTAGCTAGCCAGCGAGATATTCGTCAGCACTCCTCTGGCTAGCTATACAGCTAGCTAGCTAGCTACGCAGCCATCTAGCTAGCTAGCTAGCTAGCTAGCTATAGAGCTAGCTAGTCAGCTAGCTATACAGCCAGCTAGCCAGCTAGCCAGCCAGCTAGCTAGCTAGCTAGCTAGCTACATAGCCAGCTAGCCAGCTAGCCAGCTAGCCAGCTAGCCAGCTAGGCAGCTAGCTAGCTAGCTAGCTAGCTAGCTACATAGCCAGCTAGCTAGCTAGCTATACAGCTAGCTAGCTAGCTAGCTGGCTAGCTGTGTTTACCTGGAGCGTTCGACTTGGTATTTTCGTAAGACTTCCTGCAGCGCCTTTTGCTGCTCAGCTGAGCCTTGCTGCTCCTCCTCGCTGCTGCTGTTGCTGCCGTCTCCCGCTGCTGCTGCTGCTGCTGCTGCTGCTGCTGCTGCTGCTGATGCTGATGAACGCTTACGCCGAGGCCGCTCGGCGGCTTCCCAGTCCTAAACACACACAAAACACCCTAAACCCTAAACCCTAAACCCTAAACCCTAAACCCCTAGAAACTCTAAACCCTAAACCCTAAACCCTAAAACTTTAAACTCCACCCGCCAAACCCTAAACCCTATGCCCCCAATCCTAGCATACAAAACTCAAACACCCCCTAAACCCTAAAACCTAAACCCCAAACCCTAAACCCTAAACCCTAAACCCTAAACCCCAAACCCTAAACCCTAAACCCTAAAC